CGCCGCGCTGCCGGACCGGCGGCAGGGGAATGGCGGGGGAAAAGCGGCGGAGCAGAGCGCGGGATCGGGCGGGAGCTCCGCGCTGAGATCTCCAAACCCTCCCCGGGGCCGCGCCCGCCGCGGTTCGGCCGCGATGGTACCGGAGAGGCGCCGCGGGAATCAGGCAATGCGCGGGGCACCCCCGCCTAGGGGGCTTTCCCGGTGCACGGCGCGCGCGGGAGCGCCACCCGATGTGGAGCGCGGTGATTGGCTACAATGAGGGGGCGTGTCACAAAGACGGGATCTGATTGGTGCTTTCCTAAGGGAGGTTCCGCCCACTCCCGGCGGCGGCGCGCGGGGTCCTACCGGGTCTTTCCGCCAGTCCCGTTCGGGTTCCCGGCCCGGCCCGAACCCTTCCCGAGGCCCCGTTCAGCCGCTGCCGCTGCTCCGAGCGGCGCCTCCGGGAGTTTAACGGGCTCGGTGGGGGCCGGAGAGCAGCGCGTCAGGAAAATGCTTTGGCCAGGGAGGGATGAGTCCCCCTCCATGGCACTTTGTCTTTCACAGTTCCATTCCTCCTCACGGGAATTCCAACATGATTCCCAATCCCAGGGCTGCCTCCTGCCTGTCACATCCCACCTCSGCAGGTGCTGCAATTCCCGAGGGAGCTCTGGAACGCGATGCTCTCCTCCGGCTGCCCGCATTTCCAAGGCTCACAAGTCCGGCCGAGAGCCTTGAAAACGTGTCCAAAGGCATCGTTTGTGTCTTTGCGCGCCCCCGGGAATGCGCCGGGAGCCGCCACTCAGCGGCCTCGTCCTGCCCGGCCCGGCCCTGCCCTCACCCAACATGGCGGCCCCGGCAGTTCGCTCAACGCCGCCATCACGCCCTCATCAAAGATGGCCGCCAGCACAGAGCCCCATCCAGAACCCACTGCCCAAATCAAAGATGGCGGCGCGCGGCTTCACYGCCGGCTGCGCCACGGCGGCGTCTGCCCGGCTCCAAGATGGCGCGCGGTCACGTGACGGGGGGTGTGGGCCGCGTCCCGGCGGAAGCGTGAGGGACCGAGCAGGGAACGGCGGCGGCGGGAGCGGGGCTGGCGCCGCCGGAGCAGACGTGCCGCAGGGCGGGGGACACSGCTGTCACCACGGAGCCCGCCAGCGCCAACACCGCGGCGGCCACCGCCGCCTCGCGGGCCGCGGGYGCCGGGGACCAGGCAACCTCGCTGCCCCCGCCCAGGATGCAGCGCAGGAAGGTGAGCACGCCCGGGGAACGGGGAAAGCGAACGGGGAAGGCGACCGGCGAGGCGAGCGGCGAGCTCGGGCTGCTGCTTTCTACCC